AAAATGAGTTCGTTTTACTATTTAATATAAATGAAATTATAACACAAAGTGTACATCCTCTTCTGTTATACGCATTGATTTTTGTACGTTATTTCAATTGATTTGCATAATTGAAATTCAATTGCTTGTGCTGGCAATTATAATGAAATTGTTTGTTTCTATAAATAACATTTACAGCAAAAACAATTCAATTGCGAGCCATTGAGAAGAAGGCGGGCAGAGAAAGAGAGAGAGGGAGTGATAGATGGGGGGAATAAAGGGAGACAAGAGGCGAAAACAAGTGCTGCATAACGTCACACAAATCTCCAGCTGATAAGCATAGCGCCCATATTGATACACACAGACAGTTAACACAGCGATTTCCTTTATCACATAGGTTGGTCGTTCTTTTTTTTTTTACTTTTTCCCATTTGTTTATTTTTAAGCGACATTTGTGAGTTTGTTGCTTATGTAATTTCCCAAAAAAAATGATTGGTGATTACTTTGCGGGTTTTTTCTGGGGCTTCTTTAATGAGCTGTTCTGTTTTCCCCCTCGCGGACTTAATTGAATTTCTGCGAGTTAGTCATCGTTTTTCACTGTGCATTGTCTCACCTTTGCTACCAATCAATACTCTATTAAATTATGTGAATTTCTTTTGTGGTTTTTCACTTGTGTTTATCTTGTTTTTTTTTATTTTTTTAGGGTTGTTAGATTTGTATAAAAAACATCTATAAATGTTATTTAAAGAAAATGAATCTATGTAGATTGGTTTAAAATATTTCACTTGAGTAAATTGTGAGTAATTGAAAATTTACACATAAATATGTCATATAATTAAAGCTCTATAATATTTTAATTTGTGAGGTTGACAACCCTGTCTAATGTTGTGATATTGCGGCTTTGACAAATTCTAATTGGGATTTTCCGCTGTTTGCGGTTTCTGTGTGTTGTCGTCATCAGCACAGGTTCTTCTCTCTCTTTCTGCTCTCTATTCTCTAGCCCCCTATTTCGTTACCTCCCCTTTCCACCCATCTCATTCTCTCGTCGTTATTCTTTGAGTCGGATTTGTGTTCAATTTACACTTGATTTATTTATGAGCCACACACAAACACACATACTTGGAAATATAGATATAGGTGCAGATAAGAATGTGTTTGCCGGAGTAATGTGTATGTGAGTGTGTGTGCATAATTTTATTTTTAGCGCCTGGCTTATTTTTAATTATCGATTTTGTTTTTTCTCTTTGCCCAAAACATGTAGCAGGTAAAATAACACAACACAAAAAAATGCAAAATATGTTTGGACTTTCTTTCTTTGTTTTAACATTTCACTTTCATCGAAACGGGTTTCTTGTTGGCGCTCTTTTTTATTTTGTTAACCTGTTGTTGTTTTTATTAATTAGCATTAAGTTTGGCAACAAGTGTTAATTGGCTATATATTTTTTGTACGAAAGTTAGGTAAGGTTATATTACAGGTGGTTGAAATAACATCCTGTCTGTGTAATATAATATTAGGGATCATTATGCTCCAGAAGGTGTTTTAAATAATAAACTTAGCCTGAGGAGGAGGAGCCTAAATACTGTCTTAGACATTAAATATAAATACATACTTTATTCTCCTACAAATAAGAGTCTTTAAGCTGTGCTTATTAACGCATAATGTCCAGGAAGCTGTCCCAGCTGCTGCTGGAATATTCAGCCAAAAGCCATTTTCTCACATTTGATTCATGAAAAAGCATAAAGAAACAAAATAAAATTAAGAACAACCCGAAGCGACAACTTGGGGAACCCGTTTCCAGACCAGGCCACAGGCTGTAGAAAGCAATGAGAAGAACGACCCCAAAAAAATACAAATAAGAAGAAAAACATTACAGAGACACACACTCCAGCAAAGTAAAAAGAAAAAACTGTTTAAAATGGGGAGCCACCAGATATATACCCAAGAAGTGGAGAGACAAACGATCGATCTCTGGACATTCAGGCGTTTATACGTTAATACCCGTCTATATGTGACTGTGTGAGAGTATGAACCAGTTTTACCCGCAGGATATTAAGCCATAAAACAGTCAAAGCAATAACAAGACATGAAAAATAGAAATGTCGAGGCAATGGATACCCTATAAAAAGTCTGTATACTAAATATACCAGTATTATTGGGGTATGATGAATGTGAGTTATTCAATTGAACGTTGAATCGGGTATAACGAATGGTTTAGTGCACTTTCGTATCCAATTTCTTGATATTTTCAGATTAAAGATAATCTTATTGATCAAGTAACAAATGTTTAATGTTGGAACTAAAGCAAACTATGTTTATGGTTTTTACATATTTATTATTTGCACTTTATCAAGAGCCTTTCTCATATAATCTTCATTGGGATCTTTTGTCTCTACTAACCTGTATAAGTTTAATAAACTTTTTAAATAACTTACCTACATTTTTGAACATCCTTTCTGATAGTATTACCTTACAGGGCATCTTTATAGGGTATATTATATGTGGCAATTGAATTTGCCTCCTCGGGTCCAGTGGCTCTGTTAAGTGGTCAACATAAAAAAAGGGGGGAAATTGTGGGGACGAGGGCTAAGGAGGAACTTGTAATCGAAGTCGAACTCGAACTCGAACTTGTTTCTGCCTCATTTCGCGCAATCTCTCTCTCTCTCTCTCTCTCTCACCCTCTCTGTCTGCCTCTCTGCCCACAGCAATTTACTCTTTAATTGTTATCGGCGGTTTTTTTACTCTGTGCTATTTATTTTTTAACTGCCGCGCTTAACGGTACAATTATCGGTTGTACTGCATGAGTGTGTGCTTGTGTGTGTGTGTAAGTGAGTGTGCCTGGCCAAGAAACTTGTGGGCAGATAAGATTTTCCGACTCCCGTTTCGCAGCTGACAGACTGATATTAGATGAAAGTACGAGTTTCAAGTACGAGTGGGAATAACCAATAATTTCCTGTTAATGGTCTGGGCGGTTACCAAGATTCCCCAGCTTTGGCATCTCCTTTCCATCTCAGATAATCAATACAAAACTGCATATGCAACAATCTAAGGCTGTAATTCGTGATATTTGGCTACTGTATATGATCACTGATTCGAGGTATTAGTTTAAAGATGGGTTGGTATCCACCAAAAGTTCAAGTCTGGCTAAGAACTTGTAACGCATAGTTCTTGGTTTAGTTAAAAAATAGGTACTAAAAAAGTAGCTTAAACAATGGATTTATGACCGGAAATGGATACAGTTTATTACTGTAGTTTATAAGATATCAAAGTATCTTAACTATAAATACATTATAATTCAAAAGAAGTATTAAGTATGATATATTTGACATACTAGATAGCAGTTTCATTTTCTCACCTATTTTGATTCAGATGATAACCAAATCTATGTAGAGTACATTATAATCCACTCGACTTGAGATTGCAAATGTTAGAAATCCCTCAGAGACTGTATAAGTTGATAGTTTATCTATACTTTCGTTTACATTGTGTCTTTTTATTATCTCTTTACTGGATTTATACCCTTTCCCTTTATGGTTTCTGACTCATTTGACTTACATTATCTTGAAACCAAGAAGGGGGAGAGTCATAACTTAACCCTTAACCTAATTAAAGCAACGATTAAGGGCTACACAATTCCAAATACCAGCAAGTGACATTGAACTAAATGTTTGTAAACTGCAAAAAGCATGGGAAAATGAAAGATCTTTGCACAGACAGTAGTAGTAGTAGCCACACCCATTCACGAAATGCAACAAAGCAAAACCTTTTGTCTTAATCAAATAATATTTCCCTTGTCTGGCCATGAGTCACTCCACTCGAAGCTCGAAGCTCGAAGCACTCTGCTCGACTCCCGGCTCTTGACTTGGACTCCCCGCGAATGGTTACGCCTGGGCGAGCTGTGTCGACATGTGGTGGCCATAACCACCAGGCCATTTCAGACCAGCCAGCCAGTCAGCCAACTAGTTCTCTATCCCATTGCTTTGGTAAACAAAAAAGTCACCTGGCCTACGGAATCGATTGGCTGCTAGCCACTTGAAAATGCAAAAAGTTTCTGTGTCATTGTCCTGGTCTTGGCTGTTTCTTTTTATACCCTTGCAGGGTATTATAATTTCAGTCAGAAGTTTGCAACGCATTGAAGGAGGCACCTCCGACTATATAAAGTATATATATTCTTGATCAGGATCAACAGCCGAGTCGATCTAGCCATGTCCGTCTGTCCGTCTGTCCGTCTGTCCTTCTGTCCGTCTGTCCGTCTGTCCGTCTGTCCGTTTCTACGCAAACTAGTCTCTCAGTTTTGAAGCTATCTAAATGAAACTTTGTAGTTAGCCTTCTATATACTCTCACTCGTATATATGTCGGAACGGGCCGGATCGGACGACTATATCATATAGCTGCCATAGGAATGATCGGAAAATTTTACAAAAAAATTTTTAACTTTTTCAGTTTTCAATAGAATTGGATCAAATTTGAGATATAGCCATTCTACTACACTCTACAATTTTGCATAAAATTTTATGAAAATCGGACTACTATATCATATAGCTCCCATAGGAACGATCGAGAAATTAATACAATTAAATTTATAACTTTTTCAGTTTTTAGCTGATTTTCATCAAATTTGAGGTATAGCCATTTTGTATTAGTCTTAAATTTTGTGTCAAATTTCATGAAAATCGGACGACTATGTTGTATAGGTGCCATACAAATGATTGTTTGATGTAGAGGAAAAATGCAAATCTGCGAATGTAAAACTGCAAATATAATATATATAGGTGAATGAAATGAAAGCAGGTATTACTTCATTTTTTTTAACACAAATAAATATAATTTAAATTGTTGAGATTCCAAGTCATAGAAGTTCTATCTGCAAGGGTATATAAACTTCGGCGTGCCGAAGTTAGCTTCCTTTCTTGTTTATAACTATTTTTCCTAGTTATATTTATAACTTGATGTTTATTTCTGGGGTTGGGGTAAACAAACACGCCATGACAGTTTCTATTTCGGTCGGGTTTTTGAACTTCATTTTGGATTTCAATCAGTTTGGTTGTATATTGCTCAGACCAGTTTGCTCGAGACTTTTTAGTCTCTCAAAATTTAAATGTTGCGCAAATATCTAACCCTACGACATAACATCAAGGATGAAGCGTACGTATTCATAGTGAACTAAAGGAACTATATTTCAGGTAGAAACCTCACGTGAAATAGGAAGGAACTTTGAGTCTATCATAATGTTGTACCTATTTTTGTTTTATTTTTTGACATTTAAAGCTGGGAATGCTTGGATTGTGTCATGTTTTGAGAACTATTTGAAACTATTTGAATTGCCTACTGTATCGTTACTTACTAATCAATTTCCGTTTGTATTTATTTTCCCATTATAGTGGCGGTGGCCCCCAAACGACAACTGCCGGTCCATCCGCTGGTAATGTGGCTAATGCAACCACAGCCCTAGCCGCTGGTAAGAGCTCAAGCAATAACATGTATTCCACCCGCCAATCTGTAAGCACCACAACAGGTGTACTTATGGTCGGACCAAATTTTCGTGTTGGTAAAAAAATTGGCTGTGGTAACTTTGGCGAATTGCGTTTAGGTAAGTAATCAAAGAAAACTATAATAACTATAAATAATCATAATAATTATTCAAGTAAAAGTATACAATATATAATCGATAATACATCTTCATCAGTGTCTTAAAAGATTCTTTGTTCAGTGGTTTGTTAGGGGAGTTTATAAATTTAATGAAAGGAATATCATTTAGAAATTTCTGTACAATTTAAAATTTAATGATTGGGTTTCTGAAAGCTTGGTATATATTTACCTTTTACTTTTAGAAAGGAAACCATTTCATAAGGAACGTCTCTTCAATTCGCTTTAGCTTTTACTTTGGTCAAGTTCCTTTATATTCATATTCATATTATTATGAATATATGATCTATATTATTTACTATGAATAATATTGTAGGTCTTGTAGGTTTAGAAACCTTTTAAGCATTTCTCTACTTATTTAAAACATATGTATTGATTTCTCAGGCACTTTTTGCATCTTTTGAGTCCTTCGCTCTGTTCAATCTGTCCAAATAACTGTAAATAAATGGTAAATTATATTTGCAATTCAAAGCCAGACGTCGTAATGCCCCCTAAAGCCTCTTTCCTTATTTATTTCCATATTTTTGCCTGTTGGCATGCAAATAATGTCGTTCCCTTTTCTTTATTTATTTTTTTTTTTCGGTTAGCCATTCTGGTTGGCCACTTCCTTTCGGCGGGCATTCCTTTCCAGGTCTGTTAGCCACAATGGGAACAGTGCTGCTCCCCCTGCCTCCTGCTACCCTCCTCTCACCCCTCTGGCCCCTCGAGTTCCTTTCATTTATTTTTACTTACGAGAGTGCACAATAATATACAAAAAAGAAAAAAATGCCATACCATTCCGCCATCTGTTTTCTTGGTGGCGTCGTCGTCGTCGTCACTTTTGCTTTGTTTGCTAAATGCGCTTTTATAAAGTTGTTTCATACCGGCCCCGCCCCCTTCACACTGTTGTTGTTTTTTTTCTTTTTTTTTTTTATTTATTTATTATTATTTTTTTTTTGGGGCCTGCCACTTCCTTTTGTGCATTTGTTGTCACATTGCCAACAGGTAGCTCTACTGAGTAGCTAATTTTCATTTCAGCGGGCTCAGTCAGTGCAGCTCAAACTGTACACAGCAAAAAAAGTTTATTAAAAATAATAAAATATTCATTTATTTCATTTCCTAATATATAATATTTGTAATATTTTATTTATCCCAAATATAAATATTTTTGAAGTAAACATATGGTTGTAATGAGAAACTATATTTATTGCATTTTAATAGCATTATTTAAATACCAAATGAAATAAAGAACAAAAAACAAAGTAATAAAGATGATTAAATTTAATAATAAACCATAATATTGTCGAAAAAATAATTTTTTAAATTTCCTTTCTTCGATAAATAAAAATTTGTATAAATTATATATATATTCATACTTAAACAGAATTTTTTAAATTTTGTTTTGATTATAGCTTTAATCAAGTTGTTTTGTTATTACTTATCATTAAGCTTAAAATCATGCTCTCTCTTTCTGGTCTCAGTTCATCTCTCTAGCTCTCTCTTTCTTGTCTCAGTTTATCTCTTTCTCTCTCTCTCTCTCTCTGGCCTGGCTAAGCCGTGAATTTTTCTTTGTTCCATCTCAACATCACGATATTTATTCTCTCTTGATTTGTTTTTATTTATTTCTTGCTTTTTGTTTGTATTTATTTCATGTGGTTTTGCATGATTCATGATTCAACCAAAGTGTTGATAAATACAAAAAAAAAAAAATCACACTGAAAAAGTGCATTTAATTGGTTTTCTTGATATTTTTTGCTGCACAAATTAAGATAATGGGATCTATTCTCAATATTATTGGCTTCATTTGTTATTATGACGTAGTAACAAACCACACATTATTATTCCTCTTTTGTTATGATATCATTTTTATTAATTGTGGTCTATAAATACAAATTGGCCAAGTATGTGTTTTGTTAATTCTTTGCTTTTGTTATTAAATTAGATTAATTTTGAGGTTGAGATAAAAGCAAACTATTTGGCATTTTCACTTTTCACTGAAAATGCAATCAAAATGACATAATTTTGGGGTTTTCTTTTATGAATTTCCACTTTTCCCCCCCTTTGAAAGGAAAGGAATTTATTAGAGAGGAAAGAGTGAGAGAGAATCGTTTGGGAAAAGCAGAACATTGACCAACCTAAATACTTTTACGCCCTTTTTCTTCGCTCATTTTTATGGCCGCTTTGCGTGGGCGTTTCTCGTTTAATTTTTTTTTGGGTAACTTTTTGTTTTATTTTTGCTTAGAGCACGCCCTTTAAAAAGTTTGGTTCATTTCAGTTTTAGTTTCTTTGAGCTGCTTTATTGTTTACAGCGAAACTTGTGTTGGCAAAGAATCTTTTGAGGTATGTTTCCTCTTTGTTGTTTTTGTTTCTTTTTGCGGTATATTTACTGTGATTAATATTGTATATTGCGTTAGGTCACGGTATTGTTAGTGATTTGTTCATCGTCTGGGGGTTTCCCTCTTCAGTTCTATAGCTCTGTTCAATATTCTGAACTCTTGTTCTTGTTCAATGATTACATGTTGTATTTTAAAGCTGATTTTCAATATTTGATTTGTTCAATATTCTGAACTCTTGTTCTTGTTCAATGATTACATGTTGTATTTTAAAGCTGATTTTAAAGATCTTGTCTTGCTTGACTTTAAATGGTATTTGCTGTTGGCATTTTTAAATGGAAATTTCTAATGGCTTTTCCAACTGCTCAGCAATTAAACAAGACTGCACAATTTTTGCATATGTAGACCAAGTAATTTATTGTTAATTTGGCAGTTTTTGGTTTTGAGTCTCTTGTTGTGTGTGTGTGTTTTGCTTAGTTTCTTTTCTTGTTTTGTTTTATGGCAGCATCGTAATGTTGGAGCCTTCTAAGGAAAATGCTTTTGAGGGGGCAATTAAGGGGCCGTGGCTGCAAAGGGCGTTGTTTGCGGTTTTTCTGCATGTAATCAAAGTCATGCGGTGACTGTGCCAGTGTGTGTGTCTGTTGTGCCTGTGATGATGACTCTATCAGCGCTCTAATGTTGTGTCTGTTGATAAGCAACATTCTGTATCATACAACCAACCAACCACCCACCCAACCCATACACACACAGCACACAGCACACACACCACACCACACACATTCATTGGGTGAGGTTCGCTCACCGCTGCCTCTCCCATGACATAATTTCGCACATGAGCGAACCGCCGCCCGTCACTGTCTCTCCAAGTTCTGTCTGCTGCGTCTTCTTCGTCTGTGTTGCATCGTCACATCAAAAATGCAATTCTCAAATTATGTACAACCTTGTTCTCAATTCCATTTCCGAAAGATTTGCCCGATTTTCACGATTTCCACGATTTAATTGAGTTTTGGAATGAATATAAGAGGATAACTTGAAAATGCAGGATAAATATGAAAATGGAAAGCCTATTAAAAGTTATAATTTCTGTTTTAAACATGACTTTAAATGAAAGAAAAACATATAAAGAGATGATTAAGAACCATTTTTTTATAGGGAAAACTATTGTTTAGCTAACTTTGGTTATACCCGTAATAGACAAGGCTATGGATTTGAGGATCAATACGATATGCAGCTTAAAAGCATTATTTATTATTGGAAAAAGTATTTATTAATTAAAAAATATAATGATTTAAATTGAAGTAAAACTAAATAATATATTCAACGTATTTGTTATACCTTTACAGGGTATTATAATTTCAATGAGAAGCTCAGAACACAATGAAGGAGTCATTTCCGACCCTATAAACCATATATATTCTTGATCAGAATCAACAGCCCAGTCGTTCTAGCCATGTCCGATCAAAAAATAAATTTTTTAGATTTTTCCGAAAATTGCAAATTTTATAAGGGGTTACATCATTAAAATTGCCAAAATTTGACAAAAAATTGAATTTTTTAAATTTGAAAACTGAGTATGCAGCTTTGTTAATCTACTAAAAACTAGCATAGAACAGCTTTCTGAATTAAAATAAATGATTTTTTGGCTTAGTTATGAGTTTTTTTAAACTATGATTTTTCGAAAAAATGGTCCGTTTTTATACCTTTTTGCAGGTTTTTATGATTTTAGTCAAAAACTGACAATAGCATAGACAAACGCAGTATGCAGATTTGTTAGAGCAATAAAAACTAGCACAGAAAAGCTTTCCGAATTAAAATTAATGCAATTTCGGCCTAATTATGATGTCCGAAAAACTTTTATTTTTCTAAAAAATTGCCCGTTTTTATACCTTTTTGAAGAATATAAGTTAAGTCAGAAGCTTCGAACGCAATGAAGGAGTCATTTCCGACCCTATAAACCATATATATTCTTGATCAGAATCAACAGCCCAGTCGTTCTAGCCATGTCCGGTCAAAAAATAAATTTTTAACATTTTTCCGAAAATTGAAAATTTCATAAGGGGTTACATCGTTAAAATTGTTAAAAATTTGACAAAAAATGTAGTGTTATAAATTTTAATACTTTGTAGGCAGATTTGTTAAGCCTATAAAAGCTAGCATAAAAATGCTTTTCCGATTGAAATATAATAAATTTTTGGCTTAGTTGTAATACTTAAAAAATAAAATATCGATTTAATATACCTAGGTCTTTTTTTTAGGTATTGCTAACTTCAAGGGTATACAAACTTCGGATACTCGAAGTGAACTTCATCTCTTGTTTCACATAAAAATTGCAAATTAAGTGATGGTGTTGAGAACAAGGGGGAGGCGTGTCTTTTTGGCCAAGTTCTCACCAACTTTCTTCTTATTCCCATTTGGCTAGGTCGTCGCATGTGTTGCTTTGGTGGTGTTGGTGTTGGTGGAAGTGGAGGTGGGCGTAATGGGCGTGGCACTGTCGAGAACAATAGTGCGGCAGGTAAAGGCGTCGAATGATGCATGCAAATCGCGCAATAGTCTTGAGCATGAAAACAAAAAAATACCTGTGTGCGTGCCAGTGTCTGTCTCTTCTTCTCTTAATGAACGTTTACTTTTTGACATTGCAGATTAAATTTGAATTGTGTTCTATTTGAAGTTTATTGCTAATTTACTAATATGTATTTTTCATTTCTTCTTTTGCAGGCAAAAATCTTTACAACAATGAACATGTAGCAATAAAAATGGAGCCTATGAAGTCAAAGGCTCCGCAACTACACTTAGAGTATAGGTTTTATAAACTATTAGGATCACATGGTATGTAAACAATTGATTTATTGAAACTATAAAAACCCCTCTTTATCTCTACAATCCAACCCCAACGTTAACTCTTCCAATGCTGTCGTGCCCTTTTAACTCTTACTAACTTATGATTCACTTACAAATTACTAATCAAAGACCCCCGCCCCCAAAATAGTTCTGATTAAGTTCAGATTTTGCGAGGAGAATCCTTGATTCAAATCTATTCTCTGTTCCAGTCCTTCACTCACTCCCTCTTACTCTTTCTCTCTATAGACCCAAATCTAATTTCTTACTAACCAAAAACTTACTCAAAAGTAAAAAAGTTTTGCACCGTTACCACCACTTGATTAGTTCCATACGTAAATGAATGTATTTATTATTTTTCAATAACACTTTTTTGGTACCTCAGCAATGTTCACATACACTGCGAGGAATGAATACGACGAAAAGAAAAACATGAATAGATTTTCTCAAGCATATTTTCGGAGGTCGGTCGGTGCGTGAAGTGAAATTTGAAAAATAAAAATAAGAATAAAAAGAAAAGAAAAACTGTATAAACACCACTACTTCTTGTATATTGTAATGTTTTCAGTTGAGCGGCTGTTATACTGTTATACCTGCCAATGTAAAAAACAGCTCGAATATCACTTTACCGCTAAATCTTAAATCCATTTTCTAGATATATATATATATTAATGTATATATATATATAAATCGATTTCTGAACTATTCCTACCCTTACAACTTTCAGTTAAATATATATTTTTGTTTTTTGTTTTTTTTTTTTATCATATTTTGTTTTGTTTCATATTGCCTATTCTGATATGTTGGTTTTATAAATATATTGCTCTCTGTTCCTCCATATTTCATCAACTGCTACAACAACGATAACAACTATAACACCAAATACAAATATCAACAACAAATGTTTGCAATGAATTTTTTGAAAAACCAAAAACCGTTGAATTGAAATTTGAAACCCAACTCCGATCATCATGTGCTTTCTATCTATATACATATATATATTTATTATCCCGTGCCTGCTGCAATCAACCAAATCCGAAAACCATCTTTTGAAACTGAACTGAATCGAACCGACAAAACCTACAAAACAACCGATCAATCGTTGCATAAAAATGCATTGTGATGACATGTCGCCTATAATAATTATAATGATCCAAACCCTCACTCACCAATCAATTCCCACCATTATATTGGACCTGCAAATCGAAATCGGAATTGGAAATGCGCCATCGAAATCTCAATCGCAATATCATTATTATCGAAAATTGAAAATGCAGCCGATAACGCCCCAGATGGCATACCACGCATTTATCATTTGGGCACTTGCGGTGGCCGTTATAATGCCATGGTTTTAGAGTTATTGGGATTATCATTAGAAGATCTCTTCAATATTTGCGCCCGTAAATTTTCACTTAAGACTGTATTGATGATAGCGAAACAACTTGTAAGTGTGGCATCCTCTCCAGTATTGGAAAACACCAAATTGTATTTTGTTTCTCGAACCTAAAGTGTCTCAACGGCTAAAAGCTAGGGTTTCTTTATTGTTTTCCTGATTTAGTTTGATTTAAGAAATACAACAAAAAAATAGTTTGAAACTCTAAGTAATCACGCAATGAACGTTAGTCAAGTTTTTAGTTTAATGTAGATAAATATATATTGAAAATGTTATTAGTAGATGTATTAAAGTCAGCATACTTTTTTTTGTCTTTTGGTTGTAGCTTCCAAAAAAGAAATTTTCTAACCACAAAAGCAAGCCCCCAAAAAGCATGTAAACAAAGCGTCGTATATAGAACTTTATATAAGGCATATAAATTAAATTCTTCCTTGTACATAATACCGATAGCAAATACTCTCCTTCTATATTGTACTTTCAACTAAGAAACAACTGCAACAAAGCATTTTATATAACGGTTTCGTTGTTATACTTAACCATTCTTCAGTTGACGTTCTCTACTTCACTTTTGTTTCCGTTTATCAAACTTACTTTTCTTTTGTATACGCTCTCTCCTTTCTTTTGACAAATCAAGTATACAATGTATATAACTTAACCAAAAATATATACTAACACAGAACCAAGAGATCTATTCAAGTCTCCTTATACGAAATTTTTGAAGTACTCTACAAACTGTTATACACACTACACACGCAAAACAAAACAAAGGACAAAACAACTACTTTAGCTTTAAGCCTAGCTGTAAGCACACACACATACAACTGTTATACACAAAAGGCGGCACCTGCCACAATTTCCACTGGTTAGGAGGAGGGGATCTATGTATAATAGAAGTTCAGAGAAGGAGAAGGAGAGGATGGGTTGGTAGGTGAGTTCCTGTCTCCAGTTTGGTCGTCCAGCAGGCTTTTCCTTGTGTATATGCTTCGAGAATCTCTATTTTTGTTGTTCTTGTTGTGTTTAGCACAGTTACCCGATTATGTTATATTATATATTTTCGCTCGCTCTCTGTCAAAATGAAAGGTGGTAATATCGTAAGACGCGCTACACTAACCTCCAAACCATGAGCCGTATCTCCATTGCTCTCCACACATCACTTTCCCAGTCTGTGTCTCTGTATCTCTCCTCTACTCGTTCCCGACCCTTCAAGAAAAATAGAAGTACAGCAAAAAACAAAAAATTATATAGCTAAGAAAAAAAAAATGCAAATTGAATTTTTTTTCTATTTTGTATCTCTCATCTTTCTTTCTTCTCTCTCTCTCTCTTTCTCATCTCTTTTATCTCGCGCTCACGAATTTTTGCATAAATACAACAAAAACAACATCAAATAAACAACGAATCGAACTACTCTCTCTTGTACGCTGTCCAACACTCGATTAAATAATAAACACTACTCGCTCGCTTCCTCCAAACAAAATTCCATGTCAACCCAACCAACTACCAACCGATAAACAATCGACCAATTACTTGAATCTATCAATCGTTCGATCAATCGATAGCAGAGGGTGTACCAGAAGTATATTACTTCGGCCCTTGCGGCAAATACAATGCTCTTGTTATGGAGTTGCTTGGTCCATCACTTGAAGATTTATTCGATATTTGCGGCAGACGTTTCACTCTGAAGAGCGTACTACTGATAGCTATACAATTAGTAAGTACAACCACTAAAAATCCACCACAAAAAAACAAAAAGTAAAACAACCAATGCTGCAAATAAATAATAAACAAAACAACAACAACAGAAATATGCAATCAGCTAAGTTTCCTTTAAGCACCCGCATAACTCTGCACATAATCACATTCACAACACTGGTAGCCGAGATCGAAATTAACCAACACTAGCACTAAGGACAGAAAACCAAAAACACCTTTTATTTGTTTTGGCTTGTTTGTGGGTTTTGGGGCGTGGTGTGTATATAAATAAATGTGTGTGTGTGTATTTTTTTATATCAGGACAGCTTGGTTAAAAATTAGTTTTTACTTTATAACTTTTAATTTTTTTATTTTGATTTTCATCACTAACCGGAAGCAATAAGGTCGATGCCGCCTCTCTTTCCTTCTCTCGACTCTCTCCGACTCACTCTATCTCTCATTATTATTGCAGACGCCTGGTTGAGGTTTAATTTGTTTAATTAAGTTTTAAGTTTAATTAGTTTCTTATTCTGTTTTAGTTTGCAATACATTTTGAGGTGTCATTTGCAGTGCTTATTTAGGAACAATAGTTTGTAATCAATTCCACAAATCCAAAAACATAACGTTCATTGTAATGAAATATAAATTTGCATGTACACATCAATTTGGTAGTTTAATCTAGATATTCCTGAGTTATTTTCAAATTTGATTTATCAGCGAAATCAACCGATATATAAATAATTGATTATTCGATGCCATCAAACAAAATATCTAATACAGCTAGTTGAGACACTACAGAAAAAAGAAATGTGAAATATTTAATTTGAATTCAAAAGAGCATTCCATAAATGTTTTAATAATAAAAAACAATTTATTGAATGCTCTGCTTTGTAATTAAAGAGACATACTAATATATTTCTCCTTCTTCCCTCCAACAACAATATGAAAATGTAGCTCCACCGGATCGAATATGTTCATAGTCGGCACTTAATATATAGGGATGTTAAACCAGAGAACTTTCTCATTGGCAGAACGTCAACAAAACGTGAAAAAATTATACATATAATTGGTAAATCTAATGATCATTTAAAGTATTGAATTAAACTTAACTAAACTATTTATTTATTGCAGATTTCGGTTTGGCCAAAGAATACATTGATTTAGATACAAATAGGCATATACCATATCGGGAGCATAAGTCCCTAACTGGAACGGCACGTTATATGTCAATCAACACGCATATGGGGCGTGAACAGTCGCGTCGAGACGATCTGGAGGCATTGGGTCATATGTTTATGTACTTCTTAAGAGGTTCACTGCCGTGGCAAGGCCTGAAGGCTGATACACTCAAGGAGAGATATCAAAAAATCGGTGATACGAAACGAGCAACGCCCATCGAGGTGAACAAATCTATATGCCACAAAATATTCCCACCTAAATGTGGTTAATCCAATTGAATTGTAAACTAATTATATTTATTTTTTCCCACATCAGGTGCTTTGCGACGGACATCCTGAAGAGTTTGCGACATATTTGCGTTACGTACGGCGGTTAGACTTTTTCGAAACTCCCGATTATGATTTCCTGCGAAGACTGTTTCAAGACTTATTCGATCGTAAGGGATACACCGACGAGGGCGAGTTCGACTGGACAGGGAAGACTATGGTGAGCTTCTCTTAGCAATCCCATCTCCATTTAAACGACACTAATCTTAAGACACTAAAAAGACACACTAACGTTGCCATAGCCGAATTCTAAAACCTAACCCTAACCTATTTTATAGGAGACATAGACATTATGAGCAAGTTCTTATAGTTATATAGAGAAATAATATCCGTTCCAGTAACATATAACCTCGAAGCACTTTGAAATTAACAATCATAATTTAACTCTAAAATCATTTTGAATGATGGAAAGCATCTTCGAGCATGACAAAAACGGAGCCACATTACTAGCACCACCACCGAGGGCACCGCCGCCGTCGCCAGCGTCAACTAAAAACCATTGCGAATGATACGAATCAATTAACACAAGTGAATGCAATGTTGTGGCACTATCAGTTGATATTACGACCAGTGTAATCTATCATTATATCATGGCTGGATCATTGTTGTATCGCCATCGGTTGCCATAGAGTCGCCGCTGCTGCATAGAAGACGGGGCACTGTTAGTTGCAAGTTCCATTCATGTTGCCTGCCCCATGGCATTATGTTATATTCCTCCAATTTTAATGACTTGAATATATATTTTTTATAACGTGCCCCACACCACCAGCAACATAGTTAGGTACATCAATTAAAGAGCAAACTAAAAAAGCAGCAAATCAGTAAAAACCCAAAAATATGAAATGTGTTTTTTTTTTTACACTTTCTCTGAACAAAACAAAACAAACAAAACATTTTGTCATCGATATTGAAGGTTTTCTATGTTTTGAATTTAAGACAAAGGAACAGCTGGATCAAATGAAGGTCATAAAGAATGCGCCTCCATCGCATTTGGCCAAAAATAAGTCAGACAAGGTATTAAAAGCATAAAGGATATAGATGCGATCCTTAATCAGTGTTGCCTAGCCATGTATGATGCTCGAACGCTCGTTCAGTGTTGGTAAATGCTTATTTTCAGTGTGTAAGCTCGTTGCTTTAGGTGGTTAAGCTAGCGTATGTTAAGCAAGAAATTAATTAAACTAAACTAACTTAAGCAATCAAAATTGATGCCATTTTTAACAGCACTTCTCTTCTCTCCTTGATCTCTTTTCTCTTTTTTCGGTTGTCAACACCGTTTCATGTGCGTGTAACTCTCTATCTCTGTGTGTGTGTAATAAACAAAACTACTGCATCATCTATATATAAACATGTGTAATCAAAAAAACAAACAAATATAAATGCATTCACATCACTACTGACACAAACAGTCAACGCCCGTCGGATCTCTGCAAACTGGCCATGAAGTCATCATTTCACCAAATAAAGATCGTCATAATGTTACGGCTAAGGTAAAGTATACAATATGCAATGATTAACTAGCACAGTCCGAAAAGGGGAAACAATTTGTTACTTTCTCTCTCTATATATATATATTTTATCACTGACAAAAACCTAACTTGATTACGTTTTTAATAATGGTTATAAGACAAAACAACAATTATCCTTGTTTCAACTTAGCTTTAGCAAACTTTATTCTCTTTTTGGTTACTCAGTTCCTTTCTTCTAACATTCGTTCTTAACTGCTCTTCTTTCTCTACTTATTATGCTCAACGCTTTTGTTTTGATCCAACTCTCTTCTCCCTCATCCACACAAAACTTTGCTATATAAAACTTATTATACAGGATGTTTCTTATTTTGATTTTGATGACGATATTGATAATGAGAATGAGAACGAAGAATATATAATACTTCAGGTTAGACGTTGTAGACTTGAAAAATATCTCTGTACTGGTTAGTGTGAACTAAAATGCTCTTCTATTACTCTCCGCACTCGTACTATTGAGACTGGTCTTAGGATAATCGCTAGGATCAATAATAGTTGGGCTCTCTCTAGAAATATTTTTGATTTCTTTTAATTTTATTTGCTTTTCGAAATGATATATATACTGCACTTGTTTTCTCAAGTTGATACTTGTAGGGGCTTAAATAATCTAACAACTGTACAGTGCGCTTGTGAATCAATCGGTTGATGGGAATTGTAGAGATATTTAATATAATATTAACTTGATCTGAAGATCTGCGCTCCTAAGCCTGCCGTTCGTTCGTTGATTATACTTTTCATTTTGTTGTCTGGCTTTATGTGTCTACCGTATGGATTAAGAGTATGTTTTTGGTTCTTTTGTAGCACACTCCTCCTGACTTGCTTTAGTTTTATTTAGACTCTTTCACACCACACACACAACCTACCTAAATTAAATACACTCGCATATAATATTAGAGCTGACTATCTCTTTGTTGTACAGAATTAAACTAAACAAAAAAAAGAAAAACTTTTTAAAATTGAAAATTAATTATTGATAAACTTGCATAAATCCGTTTCCAACCATTGCTCGCTCGCAAACCGAACCGAACTGTACCCAATCGATAAAAAAATATATACGAATCGAAAAAACCAACTGCCCAAAATCCTTCACCACCACTTCAACCACCACCACACCACCCGTACCGTTCCGTACCGTACCGCCCAACCACAGACAAATGCCAAAGGAGGTGTTGCTGCGTGGCCTGATGTGCCCAAACCGGGGGCAACACTGGGCAATCTAACGCCAGCCGATCGGCATGGTTCAGTGCAGGTAAGTTTGCTGCAACAACCGGCCAGTGTTGTACAACAGTATTTCTTTTCTTATCCTTCCGTTTCCGTCTCCATCTGCGTTCCGTTTAATTCTGTTTTGTCGCTCGCTCGCTCGCTCTCTCTCCCTTGTATACTCAGTCTTTCAGTCAGTAATTGTACATAAAACATCAGTGATAATTTGGAAAATCTGCTCCTGGCCGAGACATGACCAAAAAAATATTATAAAAGCAACACATTCGTACTCGCCTCATTTCGTTATTATTGAACTGTATTGTTCGATTGTGAATTTGTACATAAATGCGTATATATATATATATATTTATCTCCTATAATTATTACAACGAACCATTATCTATCGCAGACTGTTATATTTTTGGCCTTTTCAATTCTAATGTTTTCACTTGATTTACTCTACATTAGCTCAACAAGGTACTGAACAATCTCTCTGCTCCCAGCGTGTGTTATTCCTACTCCTCTCCACCATAGTTTAATCCACATCCGTTCGGTTTGATTTGTTCCTTCTTCAACACGTTTCGTTCGTTCTCTTTTTTGGGTATTTCTCCTCGGATCTTCCTTTTTTCATTTTTTTGACATAGCGTTTTCCTTCGATAGTAGTAGTAAGATAAACTATTGAGGATCCATTTAAAAATGAACAAAAACTATTCCATGCATGACAAAGAAGAAATGTAGAATATTTCAATTTTTCTGCACGGTTCCGAATGCATGCCTACGTAACTCGTGTCCATTAACTAACACTGGTCTAGCCGCAACTGTACTTGACTGCATGCCATACACACATCCCTAGTGATGCATGGATCACCTTTACACAAACACACTAATTCAGTCATAGACTTAAGTAGAAACTATAAGAAATTTGAGAATTCGGCTCGAGGAACTCCATTTACCATGAAGCGACACCATTGGCATGCGTTTTAAGTCGAAGCGATTGATTCTGATGCATCGTCGAAGCAAATTCGAAACCAAAACCCCAAACTTATTACAGAGATTGCCTGAAGATTCGAGCTCGGATGACGATAGCCCCTTTGATGCTTACTACGAGAAAAGTGACCACGATGACGACCCTAAGAAATAAGACACCAAAAACCAACCAACCTTCCAACACCACAACTCTTCTACTCTTCTACCCAAATATAACAGCTTTACCTTCTAAAAACGAAATTATCCTTCGATCTAAACAAAAGCGGGGTACTATTATTTTCTTTTTCGTTTTACAACACTAGCGCGAGGTATTTGCGATATTAAGTGTGCGTCCCGAGTCCTTTAAAACATTTATGTTTGTGTCTGTGTGTGATTTGTAAGCGAGTCCTGTGTGTTCCAGGCAATCTCTGTACTAGGTTGAGTTCAAGGTTCGAATTTATATCCAAAATTTGTCATTCGTCGTAGTTCATTTGATTTTTATAGAGACCTGAAAAAATATAGTCCTTGTGTAAAACAGTTTCGTTCTATGTAATGTCCAATCAATAGTTTTAGTTGTCTCAAACCGTATTTTAACAGATTGGTTCATTTTTGATTAGTGAAGGCCAAAGCGTCCTACTATGTTTAATCACAACTTAATCTGCTGTACATGTACATATACATTATATATATCTTTTTAAATATATACATATGTATGTATTCGTACTATATATATATGTTTAGTGCAAATGTTTAAAGGAAAGTGGAGACTGATAATAATAACAACTACAATTTAATGCATCGTTCTCCTCTGTTCTGTATCATCTCGTTTACAGGTTGTGAGTTCGACGAATGGCGAACTAAATCCGGACGATCCCACGGCCGGACACTCAAACACGCCCATCACACAGCAGCCGGAAGTCGAAGTGGTCGATGAAACAAAGTATGTGTGTTGCTTAAGCGGTCAAAATTAATCAATATATCGATACTTGGATTAACCTTTTAGTGGTTTTAAGGACTAATCTATGGGAGATTGTAAATAATAAAGATTATTGGAATTTCTTATAGTAATATTATTAATATTATTATATTATTAATACTTAGCACAGGCCAAAGTTAGGATCCTTTTACTATTTGTATGACTAAAAAACAATTAATTATTTTATTAGTAATGTGAAATGGAATTGTCTAAAAGCAAAGGTATTTTTTGGATGTTTAAAATAATTTAAAATTGGTCAGATAAGTGAGATTGCAAATATCATTAGCTGGAAAGGGATTTAAAGGTTACTTTTGTTATACAAAATTGAATGTTTGAATGCCTGAATAGATTGCTATAAAGCAGAATAAAGAACTTAATTATGTTTTAATAGAAAGGTTTAAATATGTTTTGAGAAAATTTTAGAATAGTTTATAGAATAGATTTGTAAAATATAAACTTTGATATAGATAGTTGGATATATCGATACATTGATTAACAAGATCCTAAAGATATTTGGTGACTTTTTTGTTGCTTTGACGTTTTTAATGCGCAACTTCCGTTTTTCCGTTCTCTCTTTCTCTCTCTCTCTCTCTCAACCCCCTGGCCACTGTCCACTCACTCCGTAATCCGTACCCGTAATCCGTTACCCGTTACCCCCTATCCAATACCCGTATCCGTATCCGTATCCATCTCGTTTCTGTCCCCTTGGTTAACTGTCTCCAGTGGTTCCTTATATTCCAGATGTTGTTGTTTCTTTAAACGAAAGAAGAAGAAATCGACGCGCCAGAAATGACTAGACGGTGTACAATGTAGTCCAGAACGCGAGGCAGTCACCCTGCTGCGCGCCACTTCACATTCAAACTCACGGGATAGCGTATTGAATAATCCGAGTCAGGATTATATCCAGCAGGCAACGTCGCAGCACACGTTGCGTTATCCTCCATCCGCGTCGATGCTGACGCCAACACCAACTACAAACACACCGACACTTCCGTTGTAATTTATACAAAAATATAAAACATTAAAAAAAACCAACAAAAACACCCGATACAGCAGCAGCTAAAAACAAAAACTAAAAAAAAAATACAAACAAAAAATAAAAACAAAAACACAGAATCCAACAAGAAAACAAAAGAGAACGGTATACATTAAATACACTAAAAGAAAAAACAACAACAAGAACAGTAAACGAAACAAACAAAATGAAACAATTTTTGATTAATAATTATTGTAATGATTGTATTTTATTATTATTTTTATTATTTACCAATTTTGCGTTTATTATATAAATTATTATAATTATTAATTATATTATTATTAATTAATGCTATTATAAATAAAAAGAAAAACAAAATTCAAAAGTAAATCAAAGCGACTAGCAAGCCAGCAAAGAATCACTCACAACCCAGGCAGCTCAGCTCACAGCTCCTCCTTGCAAAGGGAAGGGAACAAGGAACAAGGAAGACATAGCTCCCCTCAGAGAAAAGATCCTAAAACCTATACCTATACCATACAACAATGCCCCTCAGAAATCAATTGCTCTTAACTGATGGAAACTTAAAGAACACAAAACGAAAACACTTAAAGCATATTTATATATAAAACATATATATATTAAAACAAAAAAATGAGACGAAAACAAAACTAGTGCAGCATCATTAAATGAGAGAAGTGAAAATGGAGAGGAAGCAAAAGATCATATTTATACGCAAAACCAACAAAAACTTGTAAATTATAAAGAAACCGAAAAGAAAGCAAAAATAAACTTCATTTTTGAAAACTATTCAACTAACGATATATGTATGCAACTTACGCGTATTACGTGTATATCAGAATATATATACATATATATATATAACTATATATAATGTCCCTGTATGCCTTCTCCCGTTGTGGCAGCTGCCCCGCAGGACATGGCTACCACCAACAGCTGCTCCTAACCCGGAATCACCTTGGTTTAGCTATGTTTTGGATGCACTTTTCTAATGCTAATTGTACATATTAAAAAATATACAACCAAAAACACGCCCACAAGTATTTTGATATATATACACACATACACAAGTCTATTGTACTATTGTCGGAAGAATCAAAAAGATAAATAATGTAGAGTTCCCGTAGTCGAATTCGATTTTTGAAATTTAGTTTTTTTGTTGAATCATTTGTTTGCTAGGTAAATTTTTGTTTTTTAATGTGCGTGGTGTTAGCGGAATATATATATATGTATATTTGTCGGGTTTCCGCACAGATCAATCACTCGGATAGGTAAAAACTAAATGTACTGAGACATTTCTTTTTGATATTACGTGATATGAGTACTAAACTAACTAAGGAAGAGATGCCTGCAGCCACGAATTACCCAAAATTTCTTCCTTTTCGAATAGCAGACACAGCAAACACTCTCACACATCCCCGGACTCTGAACGAATTTGTTTTCCTCTAAACACACACACACACACAAACTAACCATTAAACGTGAGAAGTAAAGATAAATCAGTAAATCGTATGGGGAAAAATATATATAACAATAAAAGTATATATATATATATATTTTAAACAAATTTTTTATACTTATTACAAATATACATACACCATTAACAAACAAACCAAAATAGCGTTAACTTTACAAGAACAAGGCAAACTTAATGTGTTTTTTGCAATCTTTCTAGCCTAAAAAATATAAAAAATTACCAACAAAAAAAAAGAAATTCAAATTCTACATGAAATATAACATTGCATATGAAATTAACCCAGATTTCTTGTATAGTTAAATAAAAATCATTTGTATTATACATAAAATATTAAAAATTAGCAAACAAAATACGCTAAATAAATATATATATATTTCTCGGAGGAAAAAGAGTACGAGTAAAAAAAAACAGAAAAGAAAACCGACAAAACCGCACTAGTTTATATTTATATTATATACATAACTAAAGTAAAATATAACAAATTATACATACATTATGTACTTTAAATGTTGATAAACCAAAACAGAACACACAACATAGCGCATGCATTGCATTGATTTATATATTCAAGAAAGGAAATTTACATATTTGCGACACAAGAGACAACAACAAAAATCGGAGGAAGCGTATAACGGTTGGCAGAGCAAGCAGTGCGCACGCAGGCCTTTTGCTACTTGCAGGTAAAGCAGTTAACATTGTTAACTGCGGCAAAGCAGTTTTAAAACAAAACAAAAAAATCGAAACAACTTAATTCTATAATAGAGCCGATATAGGAACAAAAAAAAAAAAAAACAATATAGACCGGGAAGCGGTGGATACAATATGCAAAACATATTTTCCACTTTTGGTTGAGACGGCGAAACAAATATGAAATAACAACAGAAAATATTGTGTAAAAAAATGATTTATTATTAATTTATAAGTATGACAGAAAGAAAACAGCAACAACAAAAACGATGTAAGCAAAACAAGGAGAGAAACAACCAACAAAAAATATGAAAAGAATAAAAAAAACAAGAAAAATTAAAACCAAAATAAATGAGAAATTACAAAAAAAAAATTGGGTTTTTGTTTACATTAAAACTATATTGACTAATTAAGCAAATTAATCGTAATTTATACTAAAAAAAATTACCTTCTTGATCGATCTAACAAATGATTCCCCATTTCAGTTATTAATATTGTCATAAATTTTCAAAAATTTGAATTATTTTTATACCATTTCCAGGGTGCTAAAACTAAAGTTAGAATATTTTTACCCAGTGAAGGATTCATTTCCGACCCTATAAATTATATATCATCATGATCTAGCCATGTCAGGTCAAAAAACAGTTATAAAAATAATTGCTGCAAAATTCACCAAGTGGTGAATAATTTGTGTAAAATATTTCCAATGATCAACTTTACACGAGTAAATATTACACAAATACATTTTACATTTTACGCCAGACACTTGTATACTACACATTTTACTCCAATAAGATTTTTACTAGAGGTAAATTTTTAAAAGTGAAATTTTCCCTATAAATTTCTTGCAAAAAGATTAACTCCAAATCTTGTGAGTATTTTGTGTGTTATTTAATTTTTAAAAATAATATTATTACTAAACTGTTTTTAGCTTTACAGCACTTTTCAGAGGATTAACAAAGAGTGATGTTCAAAAGCTAACTATAGCCTTACCGGCAATTGGCAACGCGGGCAAATGGCCAACAGCTGGTCTCCGGCATTTGAAAGCTTCCCACATGCCGGCTGGTCTGGACTGAACAGCCTTTGTTTTCACGATTTTGGCACCAACTACCAACTGCATCCATCGCGGACGTGACTGGCAAGAGGAAACCAGAACCTGACCAGCTAAAATCCCAGCCGGCGACGTGAGTAGACTTTGCCTTTGTTTGTTTATTGCTGTCAAAGTATATCCGAGTTCTAGCGTTACACTTGCGATCATACAGGCGATGAATAATCGTTCGTGCAATCTCTGGTATTGTCCAATTAACAATTAACAAAAGCCCCTGGGTGCCGTTGCCATTGGATGTAGTATAAAAAGCTTGGCCACCCAAGCCAGAGCATTGCAAATAGTACTCGCTCGGCGCTACAGAGAGTGTTTTCAGTTTTATCAGTGGTGTTTCTTATCGCCAGCCGCCACCCGCTTTCTGTTCCAGATCCCGCGCCCGCTCCCGACTTTCCAAAATTCCAGTTTCCAGTTGCAGCAGCGCTTTTGTTTCCAGTTCAGTGACGCCCCATCTGCCGATCGACCAAGTCGCATCCAAGTCATCATGGGTATCGAAAAGTGAGTACCGAGTATTGAGTACTAAGTACCAAGAGAAGACTACTCCCCATTTAGAGGGTGTGTTGTTAAATTTATTGAGAGGGCTTAGTTAATCTAGCCACGCTTAGCGACCGATTCTAATGGCCACGAGAAAAGCTCTCAGACTTTCGCCATCTTTTACAATGGGAGTCAAGTAAATAGCATCTAGCTTTACCAATTTTTTAAAATAATTTCGCAATTTTAAATTACTAATATAAAATCGTAAAAACATGGGGAGCAAAATTTAAAATTTCATAAATTACAACTTAATTATTGAATAAAATTTCTTCAAAAAGAAATTTTTAATATCCTGGCAGTACTATTATTTTCTATTCTATTTTCTATTCTTTAAATATATATATTTTTTATAGAGTTAAATATACCTAATCTTATCCAAATTTAAGTTTAGATCGTGGCATCTCTAAAGTTATTTAATTTACAAGTATTTTTTGTACTTTTTCCCGTTAATGTTATAATTTCGACCACAGTTGCTGCCTTCTAAATTGGGCAATTGGTTTATGATTAGCACAATCATTATCAAACTCTTATCATAATTTTTTATTGCACTTATAGTTAAGATTATCTCAGCGCCAGCAAAGTATTAAGACATGGGCTTATTGATAATATTCTTGGGAAGGGATTTCATTAAATAATGCAAATGAAATAGAACAATGTTCTTAGTGTTATTTCATCAGTTCATAAAAAACGTTTAGCGACGTGATATAAATACATTGCAATAACCATTACGTGCCAGTGCTATTGTTGACACTTAAGTAAATGCTTCTCAATTGAGTAATTGATTTCTATAACAACTATATTGTGCACTTTGTTCCAGAATGCTTCCCTGTACTCTACGTCTGAACAAGTTGATGAGCCGCACAGGCAGCGATTGTCTGTGCATCATCGATCGTGAGGCTGTGCCCAATGAGCTGAAGGATACCTTCGAGCAGCATCGCTGCTTTGACAAGTCCTTTGACAGCAGCATCTCATGCTTTAAGGCACCCAATGTGGACCAACCGGTGGTCTACGCACCCGTTCCTGAGCTCACCGACTATGATGATGTGAGGAGCTACCAGGCGGCGGCCAAGAAGTCCATGCAGAAGGTGCTCAAGGTAAGTCATTTAAATATGATTCATCTTAAAGTAAAATAGATATAAACATGAGAATGTTCCTTTCCTAGGCTGGTTTCCAGACCCCTTTACTGTATGTGCCCAAGGTCAAGCGTTTCCCCCAGGCCGAACTATGCACCGTTCTCGGTGCTTTGGAGGAGCTCTATGTGGTTAGTATCAATTAGCTATCTATACCCTATTAATTAATAAATATAATCAATATCTATAGCCCATTCAACTGCGCGAAGCTGGAGCTCCCAAGGATACTCGGGTGACTACGCTAAGTATCGAGATCGATGATCCCCAGGCGGATGAGATTCTCAAGGAAGCTCTAATCCTGGAGGCTGGTCGTTATGTGGCTCGTGACATTGGTGTCGGAGATCCGGAGCGCATGACCCCCATCCAAGTGGAAAAGTACATCAAACCCTTGTTCGACAAGCTGTCCGTGACTGTGATAAGTGATTTGAAGATCCTGCAAAAGGAATATCCACTTTTTGCGGCTGTTAACCGGGCAGCTGAAGCTGTCGAGCGTCACCGTGGTCGCATTATCTTCCTGGAATACAAGCCCCCAAAGCCGGCTAGGAAGACCCTGATGCTTGTGGGCAAGGGTGTGACCTATGACACCGGTGGTGCTGACATCAAGGCCGGTGGTGTGATGGCTGGTATGTCGCGAGACAAGTGTGGAGCAGCCGCTGCCGCTGGATTCATGCAGGTGGTCAATGAGCTCCAGCCGGACGATATCCATGTGGTGGCTGCCCTGTGCATGGTTCGCAATTCCGTTGGCGAGGAGTGCTATGTGGCCGATGAGATAATCACATCGCGTGCCGGGCTTCACGTAAGGATTGGCAACACCGATGCCGAGGGCAGGATGTGCATGACCGATGCCCTGTGCCGCATGAAGGAGATGGTTGTGGAAAAGAATCTGCCAGATCCACATATCTTTACCATTGCCACATTGACGGGTCATGCCTTCATATCGGCTGGCGAGGGTCAATCGATTGCCATTGACAATAGTGTGGCCCACCGGGAGGATCATGCCAGGAGACTTCAGGCTGCTGGTCAGGCCTTTGGTGAACCCTTTGAGGTCTCAGTGCTGCGTCCCAGTGACTTTGCCTTCAATGCCGGCAGAGTAATTGGTGAGGATCTGGTTCAGGCCAATAATGCACCATCGGTGAAGACACCTCGTGGCCACCAGGTGCCTGCAGCCTTTATGATCATGGCTTCCGGATTGGACAAGCATGGCTTGGACTCGAATATGCCGATCAAGTATACGCATATTGATATTGCCGGCAGTGCCGGTGAGCATCCAGCAATGCCCACAGCTGCCCCTCTGGTTGCTCTTGTCAAGACCCATTTGCAAAAGTAAAAACTGTATCGATCTTTGGAATTATTTGTGGAGACCAACCACCATTTCAGAGACAATTATACGAGTACTTAGACACTTAAATGCATAGCTAACCAACAATATTCTCCTTCTGTCCACTTGCAGCATCACTGGTCAAAATAAATGTATAATCATTGAAGATTTAACTGCCTTTTGTATGAATTAAGATGCACCCTTTTGGGGTATTTTGATGTAATAAATAAAAAGATGTTTCCATATTAAATATCTCTCGGTATCACTTGAAAAGATTTTTGGTTTATGATTTGTGATTGTGAAGTCTTTAAAGTTTTGTTTTTATTTGCGATTATAGATTTTAATGCCGCCTAAAGTTATGCATTGATTTTTTAAGTGTTTTATACTTTAATTTCAATAACAACAAACTACTTTGTGTAATTTGTTATCCCAGAACTAAATGATGTCCTAAACAACATGATTTTAGTAAGAGGTCTTGAAATCTATTTGAGGTTTATAAGTTCTTAACACAAAATACTTTTTGCAGTCCTTTTTAAATTACTGGAATATACATATGTATATTATAGTTATACATAGTTACCTAAATTCAAAATATATTTATTTATATATTTTATATATTTATTTTTTCCTTAATTTTTTGTACCTTCATTGTTTTGCATAATTGGCTAAGCGTATTGCATCTTTAGCTCTTTATGGTTATCTAAGGCTCTCTCTTTCTATCTCCCTGCCCAACTTCAGTCTCCTTTCCCTTTGTGCTTCCACCTTTTGCAGCGCCTTCTTCTTTTTCAGCTTGGCCCACAGCCTAGAACCCGTTAGTCGCTTCTTGGCCATGCTCTTTTTCTTTGTGCCGCCTTGCCTTGGGGGCCTCCAGATGGAGCTGAAGCTAGAGCCGAGGCCTGGAACTTGGCTCTGTTGGTTGGGGCCACTTGTCAGCTGTCGCATGTGTCGTGGTACCGTTATTGCCTGGCTTTGGAAACTCGGTCAAGAGTGTCTCATTCATGCTGTGATTGCATAATATACCGTTGCCTCTTGTTGGCCTTCTTCTGTTGCTGTTTTTTGCAGTGGCTTCTTGTTCTTGGCCTTCTCCCCGATTCCCGATTCCCGATTCCCGATCCCGATCCCCAATCCCCGATCCCAAACTCGATGGCTTCCCTCCTCTTGGGTGCGCTTCCAGGTAATTTATTGGCTCGGGCCTCCACATTCGACAGTCACACTGTCCATTGGCCACCGCATTTGGTCATTTGGCCAAGTCGGTAGACTTTGGCTCTGACTCTGACCAGCGTCCTAACGGTACTCCTGTTATTGATGAACGTAAACGTCTCTTTCGCTGACTGCTCTTCCCATTTCGCCCCGTTAGTGTGAATTTGTTGCCAATGCGAGGCAGGAAAAAATAAAATTACAAAAAAAAGAACAAGAAATCGGGGAAGTATTCTGCTGTATTGGCCATTTAACGGGCCTCGAGCCAAGGCTTGACCTGATTATGGCAGGACTGGTTACCTGGCTTCCTGAAAGAAGCCGCTTTTTAAAGCCTATCGCTAAATCGATTTAGTTTTAAGTTGGTGTAATCGATTTGTAAGCAGTTTTGTTCGATAATTTTATCGAATTAAGGGATTAATTGGGATTAAGTAATAAAAAATGTATTTATTAGTTGTTTAAATGTGTATGAGAGGTGTGTTTTTGATCAATATAATTAGCCTATGAATTAAGTGTTATAAATACTAGTTGGTATATGGATATTAAATCCTATATGAAATTATAGAAATAGTTTGAGAATATTTTCAAAATGTAATCTTACAGATTAGTGACTTAAAGAAAGAGGCCTTTTTTATTATTTTTTCCTACTTATCAAAATTGAAATTGCGTGAAGAATTTAACATTTATAATATATTATATTATATTAATTAGAAGAAGCCTTTATATTTGCCATAAGTATAGTAACTTAATTGTGAAAATCTTTAAGAAATCATCTGTAATGTTGAAGTCAATGGATTCACCTATAACATATTTCTTGTATATAGAGTATTATAGATATATAGAAGGGTTCTGCAAGGTCCTATTCCTCAGGTCAGCAAATATCTCACTCTTAAAAACTAATCGAAGCAAAACTTTCCTTATTTTTCAGGCATATAAATCCAATTCTTACTTGTATGTATTGATCTTGATTACTGATCTAAAGTCAATACATGCCTTTTCTTAACTACAAGTTAATCCCTACAGATTCCCATATCAATTCCATTGAAAAAGGCATTAAATGAGATGAGGAAGACTGGCCTGGCCCCCCAAAGTATGACATCAACAGCATAGACACAGTCACAAGCTCAGTCACTGGTTCAATCGTAGGCTCAATCATAGGCTCAATCACTGGCTCAGTCACAGGCATAGCAATGAGGAACAGCAATCCGGTATGGACAATCACCAAAACACCTTGTCAATTGGGCGCCTGTCTTTGGGAAGCAGACGAACTGGCTCCATATGTGTCCGCGTCGCACACAGTTGCTCCCCGATCCATAAATTCGCGAAAACAGCGAATGCAGAAACGGCAGCAACATCACCAGGAGTCTCCCCCCCCCTTGGAGGAGACGAACGGGTGACGGGTGAGGGGCATTAATAATAGCAAACAACAGACAAGCAACACCAAATGAGGGGGGGCTGTGTTGATGCTTGTTGCAACTTGCAACTTGCAACTCTTGCACCGGCAGCAGCAGCAGCAGCAACAGCAGCAACAACAACAACAGCCACAACAGCAACCACTTGGAGCAGCAAACGACAGAAATGATCTTAAATGAATGCGGAAGTTTTTCTTGGGGTTTCGTAACCAGCTACAGCAGCAGCAGCAACAGCAGCAACTGCAGCAACAGCAGCAACTGCAGCAGCAGCAGCAGCAACAGCAACATCAGCGTTGGTAGCGCCAAAGAGGTCGTCGCAATTCCAGTGGCAGCTATGTTGCTACATTTATGTACATGTGTTTGAGTCTACCAAGTACCAAGAGTCGGTATCGATGCCGTGAGCCCATAATCATAGATGCTGCCCGGCCTAGGTCGAAAGCGGCCCAATCCATGGACATATTAAAATTAATCCAATGATTGCAGCACCGGCAGCCGCTTGAAAATTGTTAGCCAATTTTGGTAGCCGCCTTCGTTGGCCTCGCTTCAGTAAGCACGCCAAGCAGCAGCGTGTGAATCGGAAGCTGGACCAAAAGCCAGCTGCCAATAGTCATTTGATCCTGGCCCCAAAAGCTTAGCCAGTTTCCCATGTGTCCAATCAGATGGAATAAGATATGACCATGCAGCAGCTGCTGACCGAGTGAAGTTCAAGGCTGTCCAGGATCCATATTGAATGTCCTGCAGTTGTTCGCTCATTCATTACCACCAAAATCTGTGTACGTGTGTGGGCCAACTTGAACAACGAAAAAAAAAATTGTATATATATCCTTGCCTGAGAACAGACAAATTTCTGCATAAACCCATAAATATCAAATTGATCTAAACGGGATATAAGCCAGAGGCGCCGGCGCCCCGAACTTGAAAATATCCAAAAAGGCCGACAAGTCACGTACCGAACACCTTTGACAACTCATAAATAAACGTTAAATTATGAACTCGTAACTGAATTTCCAAAAAAGAAAATTGAAATGTTTTTGCCACACCAAGAGATTTTCCTTTTGCCAGCAGCACAAACCGAAAAACGAAAGAAAATTCACAGACAAAATCGTTGGTAACCCGCAGCAAGCCAGCAAAAGGTACACAGGAAAATTTTTTAGTTATCTCTTACAGATAAATATATTTTTAATCCGTCTTTTAAAATGCTAAAGTTGATACTTTCAAGTATTTTATGTGTAACAGTTTTTGATACGATTAGGAAAGTTCGAGGGAACAGCCAAGAAAACATCTTAAAAATGTTTAGACAAAGTTGAGAAGATATTTCAATTTTGTATCTAATATTATATCCTATAGAAGTTACTTCGCAAATTTATCATAGAATATAAAGGAAACTTATCCTTAATATTATCTTTTAAATTATATACATTTCTCCCATTTGAAATTGTGATAACCTTAAGTTTCAACATATTTTTTTCAGTGCCCAAAAAGGCCCCTCATAATCCATAATATTGTGTCATGTTCATGATCAACGCGGCCTCAGCCTTGGCTAGGAAAATGTGTGAGGCCGGCCCACACCTTGTTGGCTAAATTATTTGGAAAACTCCTCTAGACGGGCAAACGAAAGTAAAGAGAGAAAAAAAAGATAGAAAGAAAGGACCGAAAAACCAATGCCAAAAAAACCCGACAACCGAATTTCGACCCGCTCGCTAGCCGGCTAATGAAGTGGTAAAAAGGGGCTTGGAAAACTGCATGCCATTGCATTTGATGGTTGTTATTTGCTATTTGCTATTTGGTGATTGGTGTTGCTGCCACCAACGCCGTTTCGCTTGATGTTGCACTGTTTGCCGCAGTGTTGCAGTTGTGCCGCCGCTGTGTCGAGCGTAGTTGGTTTGCCATTTTTATGGCCTCTTTGGGTAAAATGTTAACAGAAACTATGCCGGGGGCGGGGAGGTAAAAATTATGAATTTTTACTTTCACCGCATGTGGCAAATTCAGGTTTGCCAGCAGGCTTGAACTTGAGGCAAAGGAAAAGGCAGCAACAGCAGCGGGAGTTGTCAAGGCCAAAGGTCGCAAAGAAAAGGTGTGGTCGAGCAGATGAACGAGTCAGATACGAGATATTATCATGCCCTTAAATTTGGAGATGCAAAATCATGATTAAAGGTGACACATATTATTGAAAAGGATTTATATTTGTCTGAGGATCTTTCGAGATAATTACTATTTTGAAATTTTGCTTTAAATGAGATAAGTTTAATAAGAAGCGTTGAAGAAGTCTATTTTAAATAAGTATTATAGAATATAATATACTGAAGAGTTAAGAACTATAACAAATTCGATGTATTCAAAAATAATTAATTTAATAAATATAATATTATTATAACTAATATAATTTTAGTCAGAAGCTTGTGAAGCATTGTGAAGGAGTCATTTCCGACCCTATAAATCATATATCTTCTTGATCAGCGTCGTCAGGAGAGTCGATCTAGCCATCTCGGGAGGAAAATAAAATGTTACCAATTTTATCAACATTTTATAAGGTGTTCAAATTTTCAAAAATTTATAAAAATT